AGGCAACAGTGTATATTACAAAAAATTTAAAAGTATTTTAAAATTATATTATTTTAATAAAATATTTTAATTTTTAATAAAATTGTAAGTAGTTTGTTTTGTAAAATTATTTTAATAATTTTAAATTTATTTTTATATTATTTTATTAAAAATATTTAAATAATTTTATAAAACAGACGATTTTAAATTTATTTCGTATAAAACAATTTTTAGTAAATAATATATGTGCATCTTTCATATAAAAATAAAAAATAAAAACAGGACGTTTATTATTATTTTTTTTCATGATTGCAATGGAGGAGGTACGACAATAATTGTAAGATGGACGTCGTCCAAAACAACACCTAAGAGCTGAGGTCATAAACCTTCATATCATTTACACCACACGTTGGTCTTCGGTCATTTCCATTTTCTACTTTTATTTATCCATCAACGGTCGAGATCCTCTGACAAATCAATATCAGCTTTAAGATTCCTTTATCAAAGTGGGTTCCCCTTCGAAGAAAATATCCATTTCTTAAATCCAAACCAGAAAAAAGAGATAAAAAAAAAAAGGAAAAATACTAGTAATACGTAAAAGAAAAATAAAAAGTCAATGAAGAAATTAATTTTTTCAATTTTTTTGAAAAAAAATTAATTAAATTTGGTATTAGTATTTATTATTTTATAAAAAAATAAAATTTTGAAACTGAATACATTTCATCTATTGTTTAATAAATAGTACGACCACCAAACAGTGTGACCACCACTGATCATATGGAATTACAATTCTTTCAAATATATTAAATGAGTGGGTGATGCATCTTAGAAAAAGAGTTTTTTTTTTTTTATATTTATTTTTATGATATAAGTTAAATATAATAAATATATATATTTTTTATTATAAATTTATATTAAAAATAAAAATTAATATTTAATATATTAATTATTTTAAATGTATTAACTTAATATTTATACTAAATTAATATTAATTTTTATATTTTTATACATATTTATAATAAAAATATTATTAATATATACTTTTAAAACATAATTTTAAAAAAAATTTAAAAATTATTTTTTTATGGCACATCTCATTATGAAATACATAAGAGAAGTTAACTTTTTTATATTTTGAAATTTTTCTTCAATGTATTCAAAACTTAAATTTGAGATTTTTAATTTAAAATTTAAAATTTTTAATTATAAAATCACCCTAAAAAATTAAAAGAAATGAGAAGAATTAATTTGAAATAATACAAAAATTAGCGCACCTTAAATTTTTTTAATTTTTTATAAAAAATGAAGTACCTGAGAAATTGACTAGGAGAAACTTCGCGGCCCTCTTCATTGACCACGTCTTCCTGCGCTACCCCACGTGACGAAAGCAATGAGCGACGGGCGACGGACGACGGAATTGCGCCTCGTCCAAGCAAAATACGCCACGTAAGCCTAACCCAAGGTGCCGTAATTGCGTCCAGGTTCAATGAATCTTGAGACGCGCGATTTAGTAGCCTGTTATATTTAACCATCAATCCTTCTCCCTCCCCCTGGAAAAAAAGAGTAATCTTTTCTGAGACAAAGGAAAACGAAATCAGAGACCTTTCAGTATAATTCTTAGAATTCAACAATGGCGTTGGCTCTTACTTCTTCTTCTTCCGCTGCCATTTCCGGTTCCGCCTTCGCTCGCTCCGCTGCTTCTTCCGATTTGAAAGGTACTAAAATTTGGTGGTTCTTCTGGTTTTGAATTTGGTTTCGATGTGTTTGTTTGGTTTATTTAATGCTTTTGGTTGTTGCAGCTGCACAAATTGGTTCGTTTCGGCTGCTAGATCGTCCGGCGACGGTGATTTTGTCTTCAAAGAGACGGAGCGCAGTTAGGCCGGTGAATGCAGAGGGAAGGCGGAATGAATCTATAGCTCCTTTGGCTGCAGCAACTATCGTTGCTCCTGGTAAGTTAATCTTTTTAGTTTAATTTTAAACTTTTTTTTTTTTTTCTGGTTTTGTTTGTTTTGACTTAATTTGTTGTAATTTGTGGTGGATTTGCAGAAGTATCGGAGAAAGTGGAGGTAGAGGATTACGAGCAATTGTCCAAAGAGCTTGAAAATGCTTCTCCCCTTGAAATTATGGACAAAGCTTTGGAGAAATTTGGGAATGACATCGCAATTGCTTTCAGGTAATGCTCCAATTCAAGGCTTCTACTCTTCAAAAGGGTGAAATTTATGTTTTCTAAAGCTGCAACCTGCAATTTTAGCTATGTGGGTATCTTATTATCAGAGGTAGTTTATCTTGTAATGCAATTTTTTTTTAATGAATCACTATTGTAAAGAATAATGTTTCTAGGAAAAGATTCACACAAGGGGAAGAAGAAGTAAAGCTAAAGAAATTTCTGAGTAGTATCCATAAGTTCATTTTCCCATGATCGATTAGTAGAATTCTGAATCTGTTTGAATTATGATATGATCAAGTGATTTGGTATGTGAGATGGTAGTTGACAATTTAACGTTGACGATTTGCAGTGGTGCAGAGGATGTTGCTTTGATCGAGTATGCGAAACTAACGGGGAGACCATTTAGGGTCTTCTCCCTTGATACCGGGAGACTCAACCCGGAGACATATCGGTTCTTTAATGAAGTTGAGAAGCATTATGGAATCCATATAGAGTACATGTTTCCTGATGCTGTTGAAGTTCAGGCATTAGTGAGGGGTAAGGGTTTGTTTTCATTTTATGAAGATGGCCACCAAGAATGCTGCCGTGTGAGGAAAGTGAGGCCTCTTAGAAGAGCACTTAAGGGGCTACGTGCCTGGATCACTGGACAAAGGAAGGATCAGTCTCCTGGTACTAGGTCTGAGATCCCTGTGGTCCAGGTGGATCCAGCTTTTGAGGGAATGGATGGTGGAATTGGGAGCTTGGTGAAGTGGAACCCAGTGGCAAATGTTGATGGTAAAGACATTTGGAGCTTTCTCAGGGCAATGAATGTGCCGGTGAATTCCCTGCATTCTCAGGGGTATGTCTCAATTGGATGCGAGCCCTGCACAAGGCCAGTCCTTCCTGGTCAACATGAAAGGGAAGGAAGATGGTGGTGGGAGGATGCCAAGGCTAAGGAATGCGGCCTCCACAAAGGAAATCTGAAACAAAATGGTGCTGCACATATTAATGGCAATGGCGACGGGGCTGTTCATACCAATGGAGCTGCCACCGAGAATGACATTTTCAACACACAGAATTTGGTCACCTTAAGCCGGACAGGAATAGAGAATTTGGCAAAATTGGAGAACCGGAAAGAGCCGTGGATTGTCGTGCTTTACGCCCCATGGTGCCAATTCTGCCAGGTGAGCAATGTTCAACACTATATCTGGGAACTTTTATTCAAACAAATGTCGTTGGTTCTGTGTAAGTCCAATTATCTATAACATATTGTTATGTGGACTTCTAACAGGCAATGGAGGCATCCTATGTTGAGTTGGCTGACAAACTTGCAGGATCTGGCGTGAAGGTTGGGAAGTTTAGAGCAGATGGTGACCAGAAGGAGTATGCCCAGAAAGAGTTGCAGCTTGGAAGCTTCCCCACGATACTTTTCTTCCCTAGACACTCCTCCAAGCCAATAAAGTACCCATCAGAAAAAAGGGATGTTGATTCTTTGATGGCTTTCGTGAATGCGTTGCGGTAATGCGGATCAAGGATCAACTTTTGTCCAATTATCGTTCGACAGACATAAGATCCCTCTTGATTCCATGAAAGCTAAAAACAGGGTGGGGGTTACCAAAGGAGGATACATAGAACTAGTAGAACAATTAGAACTAGCACTCATGGCATCAAAACTGCCTAGGGCGTTCTTGTATGGTGGTGAGTGTGTAAACTGTTAGTTTCTTTGTTTATCTTGCCGAGTCTAGTGCAGGAGTTCCAGAGTCGAGGTTTCTTGAGCCAATCCCAGAGGCCAGAGTCAGTTTTGCATTGTTGTTTTTGTAGATGAACCATTATTTTGAGTCAGACATCCATGAATGGAAAAGGGTGTAGGGTCATAGTTTTTAAATTTTTAGAATTTTTTCACAACTTTAATAAATTTCTTAACCTTGTGAAAAAAATGTCAAAAAGAAAAGCAGCCTTTTTATTGCTGGGACTCGAATCTCTTTCACGTTACATCCATTAATGCTTTTCCCTTTATCTTGTCTTGGATTGGACACGTCCGTACTTCTGAATGACGAGACCATGCACCGGCCGCTGGGGGTGGTTTTGTCACCTGCTTTGCCACCAAGTCTTTGTTTAAGAAAAAAATTATGAATGTCAATTATATTTTAATTGTTTTAGATTATGTTTGGCACAGTTATATTTACATCCCACGGTGACCATATTTACACCCCACGGGTCAGTACTGGCTTGGTGGTTCTAGTTCTATAGCTAAAATCAAGCACTATAACCGGTTTGTATATGATGAGTTGTTTCAGTTTCTTCTTCCCTTTTTTTTTTTCCTGAGTGAGTTGCTGTGGTTTACTTTTGAGTGTACATATTTTATCCAGACCAATTTCAAACCAATATTGATCGGATATTGGTTCTGAGCTAAGTAATCCGTGTTACCATGATAGTGTACTTAATTATGGACCGGATCTTAATTCCAAGATTGTTAACAAACTTCCATTTTTAAATCTGTTCAGCCAATCCTAGTCCGGTTTAAAACCAAATCGACCCGTTGGCCACAACTTTTGTACGAAAGATCATTTCAAAATCTCACTTTACTCTTTATTGATGAAAAATTGATAAATCATAATCTCGAATCACACAGAATCTACGAAGGAATCATTCAGCGGAAGAAAGTGGGGAAAGTAAATTTACAGGACACAACCTGACTGTGGATGTGGTTCCCCGAATCTAGAAATGATGACCCACACAAGATGTGATGTAGGCATTTTGTTTGTGCTGGTGACTGTATCCTGCTTAATTATTTTGGTAAAGGAACCTCTGCTTCCTCCCATGGCCTTTCGTTAGATGCAGAGAGTGGCCATAACCACAACAACTGACTAGGATGCGTGGCTGTTTCTGCTTATTTTCTGAACCTTCATGTGTCTGCCTCTGCCCACTCGTCATCTCACGTCTTGTCTTTCCCAACTCACGTCTTGTCTTTCAGCTTTGAAGTCCTCATTCCATTACTCCTGAATTTTTCAAGTTTAGTTAAACTTGAACTCAAGCTTAAACTCCTATATTCCTATTGAGGGATGGTGTGCTCTACTTATTTATCAACGAGTTTCCGGCTTAAGTTCGGTAATCTTGTTCAAACCCTAACTGGGCCTAAACTTCTTTATTTATATATATTTATATTTAATTACGAACTCAAACTCAAAATCTTTAACTTTTAAAGAGTTTATCAAAGAGTTTCATTTACATGTTATACGATTTAAATTTAAAATTTTTAATTTTTAATTAAAAAAAATTATTAAATTATTTAAATTATTAATAAATATTTAATTGTTGAATCACCCCATTTAATAATGAACTTTCCCTATTTGAATTAGTTTTGCTTGAGTAGTGTGTAATTTTCACATATGCTATGTAAATTAAATCCAAGCTTAATAATGGTATCTGGTAAAGATGGGGCCGCCTGTGGAGCGCGCCAGCCTGTCTGACAATCAAGTCTACAGAAAAAGAACCAACTTAAAGCCCCAGAAAACACTGTTTTTCAAATTACCATACTGCCCTCACAATATCACGAAATACAAATACAAAGGCCTAGTGTATGCGTCGGCGTGCAAGGCTATTTTTGTAAATTTACTGTAGGTGGTTGAAGCGCTCTGTCGAAATTTAAACATGTTTGGGAAGCAGGAAAATCAGAAAGGCTGGTTCTTTTTTATGAATGTTTGCCTTCTTTCTAGCTCCTGTAGATTTCCCAAGTCTATTTTTTAGAGATAGGGGCAATCCCAAGTCGAAAACGAAAGAAAGGAAAAATCTTGTGAAGATAATGCAAGGGTCTCTGGCAGAGGCAGAAGCAGAGGATGCAGAAGTAAAACTCCAGCTCCTCTTCAATGGCGATTTCTAAAGTCACTCATTTTCTTCTCACCATCTTCGTCTTTTGCCATGTGCTTCTTTCCACTGGTAATGCCCAAAAACCCAAAACCCCTTTTGAGAAAATGTTCATAAAGTTTTGAGCTTTCCATTAAAAACTTAAATTTGTCTACTTTGCAGTGAAATCATCTACTTTAGTTCAGGAAATCAAGCAACAGAGTCAAGAAGATAAAGAGCCGTTTGTGGGGGTTAACATTGGGACGGATGTCTCGAAACTGTTGTCCCCGAATGATTTGGTCTCCTTCTTGCAAGTGGAGAAGATTACCCACATTCGACTCTATGAAGCGAACACAGACATACTCAAAGCATTGGCGAAAACCAAGATCCGGGTCATCATCGGTATACCCAATAACCAGATTCTTGCAATCGGGTCATCAAACGCCACCGCAGCTTCCTGGATTGGCCGGAACGTTGTCGCTTACTACCCGGAAACCCTCATCACCGCTGTTGCTGTTGGAGACGAGGTGCTAACCACCGTACCCTCCTCAGCTCCTCTGCTGCTTCCTGCAATTGAGTCTGTCTACAGTGCTTTGGTAGCTGCAAATTTGCATACCCAAATCAAGATTTCAACCCCACATGCTGCTTCTATAGTTCTAGATGCGTTTCCTCCTTCTCAAGCTTTTTTCAATCAGAGTTTGTCTTCAGTTATGGTACCTTTGCTTCGGTTTTTATCCAAAACTGGGTCTCCTTTGATGATGAATCTTTATCCTTATTATGTGTTTATGGAAAATAAGGGTGTGGTTCCTCTTGATAATTCATTGTTCAAGCCATTGACGCCATCTAAAGAAATGGTTGATCCTAATACATTGTTGCATTACACTAATGTGCTTGATGCCATGATTGATGCTGCTTATGTTTCTATGAAGAATTTGAATGTGACTGATGTTGCAGTGCTTGTTACTGAGACTGGATGGCCTTCAAGGGGCGATTCTAAAGAGCCTTATGCTACCATAGACAATGCTGATGCGTATAATTCAAATCTCATTAGGCATGTTTTTGACCACAGTGGAACTCCTTTGCACCCGGAACTCACTTCTAGTGTATACATATATGAGTTGTTCAACGAAGACTTGAGGTCATCCCCTGTATCAGAGGCTAATTGGGGGATGTTTTATGGGAATTCAACACCAGTGTACTTGCTTCATGTATCGGGCAGTGGGACTTTTTTGGCAAATGACACCACAAACCAAACGTATTGTATTGCAGTGGATGGGGTTGATTCAAAGACATTGCAGGCAGCCTTGGATTGGGCTTGTGGTCCGGGGAGGGCAAATTGCAGTGAGATTCAAGCTGGAGAGGATTGTTACCAGCCTAGTAATGTGAAGAACCACGCATCTTATGCATTTGATAGCTATTACCAAAAGGAAGGGAAGGCCCCCGGGTCTTGTGACTTTAAGGGAGTGGCCATGATTACCACCACTGACCCAAGTAAGCATATCTACTACACTCCACTCCTTATTACTTGAATAACTCTAATTCCTGTTTTACTTTGTCTATTATGCATATCTAGATTTGAATACAGTCACATAGTTTGGCTAGCAATACCGAACAGATTAGTATTCAACTGCTAAATTGTGACAGGACTATTGATTTGATTGCTTGGAACATAGATGAGGTGACAGGAAACTCATCAAGTTGGTTTGCTTTAAAAGGGATTTAAGAATTGATAAAAGGAAACAAATTAAGATTTTTCTTGCATGCAATCAAGAATGTTGCTCTAATACAACATCCAAAATGGTCCTGGCGTCCTGCCTCCTTTCTTACCCCTCATTCAATCAACCATTTACAAGTAATCCTAATGAAGGGGGAATTTGTTAGAGGACATAGACATTATGCTTAAAGATTGACATAGAATTCATTAATCTGACATTTTGTTTTAATTGTGGACACACTCGCAGGTCGTGGGAACTGTATTTTTCCAGGGAGGTGAGATAGTCTCCTCAGATTTGATGAACTGAGTTGCTTAAGTTCTTGACTATTAACTGATAATTTTTAAACTTGCTGTTTTCCAGTCAGGAGGTGAGCAACAGGACAAAGGATGTCGTAAACTCGACCGAAGTAAGTGGTGGAGCTAAGAAGCTGGGATTGATCGGAATAAGTGGAAACACTGTAGCAATTTGTATTTTGTTACTCATTCCTTTTGTGACTCCTTGGTGAAGAAGATAATACAAGTTTTTTTTTTTTTTAAATGTTAGTCTTCGTGAATGTTGTTGAAAAGGGAGGTGAACAAAGCATTAGTTCCACTAGGAAAGCATTGAAAGGGTTAAGTTTGATACTGGACCCAAGAATGCAGTTACTTTGTCTAAGAATTCTTAAGATTGTCAAAAGTCACGAGCACCGACTAGGTTGTGTCGTGGGGTCTTTGTGTTCGAGAATCGTGACCGTAATGGTGGCCCAGCAACACGGAGCTGGATCTGAATGTTAGGTGAAAGAATGACTGTTTTTATAAAAAAAATAGTTGTGCAGTATATATATATATTTTTACAAAAGGTTACATCCTTTATTTATATTTTATATATTATTTTTGTTATGATGAACACTTTTTATAATTTTTAATTATAATTAATATTTTTTATAATTTTTACTCTTAATTAATATCTTTCATAATTTGAGATCCATTAAAATTTTTAAATTATCAATAAAATTAAGGGTGTAAATAAAAGATTTGATAGTTAATTTATGGGTATTTTTTATATGTTTTAAATTATAAAAAGTGTCGACTAAAAATAAATTTTTTTTAAAATATTAATTATAAAAAAATGTGTAAAGTGCAAAAATAAGTTTGGCTTTATTAAAAAAGAAAAAAGTTATCTTGTATTTACACTATATAACTTATCATTAGAGGGGAACATACCCTTTGATATTGAGAATGGTCTCCCATTCAACTATTTTTATTTTACGATTCAAACTGCAAAACAAAAAATTTATTTTTTTTATATACAATTGAGGATTATATATCTATAGGACTATAAAACATGAAGTTCATTTTTTATACACGGTTCATGATTATATACTTTTAAATAGTGATTATCAATCCTAATTCTCAATTTTTTTTATTGTAAATTATATGTTATTCCGCTAATCACTCAATACAAAATACGGATAATAGTTTTAACGCTACCTAATTTCCCTTTCAAAAACTGCATGTGATAAGAGTAGACTCTCTAATTTCCATCAAACACGTGTTTTTTTTCAAAACCGCATGTTATTAGATCAGAATCAGACTGACTAATTTCCTTTCCCTCCATGTCCACCAATTGAACCTAACTTTTGCACTAAAAATTTGTTGATTTAAGCAAAAAAAAATTTCAATTTTTCTTAAATAAACTCTCAAATTTAAATTTTATAAATAAAAAAATAAAAATTAAAGAAGTTTTTTCTTTATGGAATATAATATAATTTGATTTTAGATTAATTAAAAATCCAATATAATTTTTAAATACCAATAATTGGTACTAAAAACAAAAAAATTTGAACCTAACCCTTGCAATTCATTTTAGTTCAAAAAAAGGAAAATTCTTACTTTAAACTCCAAATCATGAACCGTTTATATTAAAGTGGTCCCCACTACGATCTGGACTCATGTGATTGAATGGTCCATGATTATACCAGGCAATCGATCAAGCTTAGATCCAACCACATGTGATTGAAATTTCTTAACTCTTGCTAACAGGTCATGTGCCCATACAACTCTGCTTTTCACTTGCGTACAAAAAACAGAGCTCCACCCTGCTCTGTTCCAACAAACAACAACACAATGTACCCTTAAAGCTTCTTCCTTTACATATCTTTTCGTCCTCAGAATTTATCTCAATAACCAGATATTTGTTCTAAAAGGGTTTTCATTGTAAAGAGGAAGAAAAAATGGGGGATACCCATCTTCTTGTTCGTCTCATTGTTGTGATTCTGGTGCTTGTTTATGGTGTCAATGGCGATAACCCATATAGATTCTTCACTTGGAAAGTCACATATGGCGACATTTACCCTCTTGGGGTTAAGCAACAGGTACTGAATCTCGAATGCAAATGCTGCTATTTTGGTTTCTGGGTTTGCTTGTTTGACAAGATTTTGCTTCTTCTTTTTTTTTTTAATTTTTTTTATGGGTTTTGGATTGAATGTGGGAAATTTTGGTGCAGGGAATCTTGATTAATGGGCAGTTTCCAGGTCCCCATATCGATGCAATTACAAATGATAACTTGATAATTAATGTTTATAACTACTTGAGGGAACCCTTCCTTATCTCTTGGTAATTTTCTTTCTTTTTTCTTTCGTCTGAGTTCAACATTTATGTTTGGTTACTGAGAAAATCCAGGAAAATGGAAGAAAGCTCAAAATGTCATTCTTTTTCACCCGAAATAGAATTTGTTTTTACTAAATCTTTAGGATTTTTTTTTTTTTTTGACTTCTATCCCCGAGTTGTTTTCTAGTAAGAATATTAAATTGATTAAGGAAAAAGTATGGGCAGAAAGGTATCAGTAAGATTAATTAGGATAATCCACTTTGTGCAGCTGGCCTAACAAGGTAGTAGATCTTATTATCACATGCCAGACGCTCCATCTATGGATCTTCATATATCTTAAGTTCAAAAAAAAAAAAAGAAAAGAAAAAGAAAAAGAAAAGAAAAAACTAATTATTACTGTACTAGTACTAATTGTCAGTACTATTAAATTTCTGTCTTCTTATCAATGTATGGGCCATCTACCTTCAGTTCTCATTCAATATTTTTCTCAAATTTTAGTTCCACAGATACTAGTGCATATCTGCCCATTAATGGGTCCTATTGATGGCTCTGATTAGAGATTTTAGGTCCTGATGACATTGTTTTCTTCTTGTAATAGAAACTACTTGTCATTAATTTTCAAATAGGCTGGCATTTGGACATTCAATTATCCTAGAAACAAATGTATCTTTAAGATTTGGTATATTCTTTCTACTTATGTGACATTGGTGCTTAATCCAACCAATTTCTACGGAGTTGTGCAAGAATCTCATGGTCCATTTAGGTCAAACATCCATAGGGTGCTGCCTTTTATGTGGTATTTGGGCTTCACAGTCTGTTGTATTGTACAGGAATGGGATACAGCAGAGAAAGAATTCATGGCAAGATGGAGTATTTGGCACTACCTGTCCAATCCGGCCGGGGAAGAACTTCACTTATGTTCTCCAAGTGAAGGATCAAATTGGTAGCTATTTCTACTTTCCTTCACTAGCATTCCATAAGGCTGCTGGAGCATTTGGTGGCATCACAATATGGAGCCGACCTCTGATTCCTGTACCTTTCCCTCCACCAGCTGGGGATTTTACTTTACTGGCTGGGGACTGGTATAAGACAAATCACTATGTAAGCATTCTGCATCTTCGTAGGACATATCTGTTGGGAGTAGAACCTTAATCAATATATTCGATGCTTTTATATATATCTCCCCAAGTTTGTTCCTCTAAATACTTACTAATTACTGCTTCTTAAGGTATTGAGACGTGTGTTAGAAAGTGGCCATAATCTTCCCTTTCCTGATGGGCTTCTTATCAATGGTCGGGGGTGGAATGGCAACACATTCACAGTTGATCCAGGTGGATATTTATGAGCTCCCAGTTACTCTACCTCCCACTGAATTGCACTTAAATCCACTCATTTTCAATAAGCTGGCTGCAGAGTCCATATTATAGTTTTGGATCAGGTGCAATGCCTTTTTATATAATGAGGCTTTAGTAACAGAATATGTATTTGTTTAATTGTATTCAGGTAAGACATACAGGTTCAGGATATCAAATGTGGGGCTTACAACTTCCATTAACTTCAGAATCCAGGGGCATACGATGAAACTGGTAGAGGTTGAAGGTTCACATACACTGCAAAACATCTATGGTTCCCTTGACATCCATCTTGGGCAGTCATATTCAGTCTTGGTCACGGCTGATCAGGCTCCTCAGGATTACTATGTCGTAGTCTCTACACGCTTCACTACTCGTGTGCTCACCACAACTGCCGTTCTTCACTACAGCAACTCAGGTAGTGGAGTTTCTGGTCCAGTTCCTCCTGGTCCCACGACCAACATTGCTTCATCACTCCACCAGGCGAGAACCATACGGTACTTTGATTTTAATTCTTTCAGAAGCCAATCAGTCTCTATGCCATCTGAACATGGGGGTTTTATGGAATTAAGTTTTCATGCTTTTACAGTTCACTTGCATATTCTTGATTTTGCCACTAAATCCTTATTTCATGTTATTTTGTGCCAGTTGGAATCTGACAGCTAGTGGACCAAGGCCTAATCCCCAAGGCTCATACCACTATGGAATGATCAATCCCACCCGCACCATAATGCTCGCAAACTCCGCACCTTATATCAATGGAAAGCAGAGATATGCCGTCAATGGTGTCTCATATCTTCAACCAGACACCCCATTAAAACTAGCAGACTACTTCAATATTCCTGGAGTTTTCTATCCTGGAAGCATGCCTACCAGCCCCTCTTCGGGAAATGCATATCTCCAGACCTCTGTCATGGCTTCTAACTTCCGTGAATTTGTTGAGATTGTTTTCCAAAACTGGGAGGACACTGTGCAGTCATGGCATATTGACGGTTACGCCTTTTGGGTTGTAGGGTATGTTTTCTTAGCAATTGTGAGATCTTGTATGCATTTGGTCTCTAACCATCTAAAGCATTGACAATATGTTGGATCACTAGGATGGATGGAGGGCAATGGACCCCTGCAAGTAGATCAGGCTACAATCTAAGAGACACAGTTGCTCGCAGCACTACTCAGGTATGAAAAGAAAATGGAAAAATGTTGTCCTTCCATAAATGTACTGCAAATCCAACCAACTTGAGAGTTAAAATTGAATTTTCTGTGTTAATGTAGGTGTATCCAAGGTCATGGACTGCAATCTACATGGCTCTGGACAATGTGGGAATGTGGAACATTAGGTCCGAGAATTGGGCCAGGCAGTATTTAGGTCAGCAATTTTATCTCAGGGTCTATACCTCTTCCGGTTCTTTCAGAGATGAATATCTAATCCCCAAGAATGCTCTTCTCTGCGGCCGTGCAAGAGGTCGCCATACTAGGCCCCTTTGAATCAGCTAATAGGAATTCTGTCACAAGAGGGTGACACATGACATATTAGTTGAGATATCAAACTAGCTAAGTTCTTGGTTCCGGAAAATTTATTCAAGAGCTCCACTCGAGCTTAATTAATTAGAGTCATTCTTTCTTTGTCTCATTTTTCATGCTAGATGAACATTCAGGATTTGTTTCCATTTTCAGGTGTCTGTAATCTGTACTACTTTTTTATGACCATCTTCATTGTTTTCAATGAAAGTTTAAGAAATTCAGCAAAGTGAAGAAAGTAACTGATGAAGATTGGAACATCAGTTTTGTCCTGAATTACGGGTGACTGACACAGCCTGTAAAGAAACGGATGCAAATTAAGGGTCTCCTTGGTCCAGACAAGATTGCTCTGTGTAGAATTTCAAAGCTTACGTTATGAAAAACACATATGTCCATGTTCATGGCAATTCCATCCAAAGAATATTCCCTCAAGTTGAAACCGTCCCCTCTGACATATATATTGCCATGGCCACAACTGGACATCCATACTTTATTTCTGCTGTTTCATTTCTTATCAAAACAAATACCCACATGATAGACAAGACCAGAAGCGAAAAAGAATACACCTTTTATTTCACATATTACATCATGATTCCCCCTAGAATTTCAAATATATTAAACATGTAATATTAAGTACTTTCTTTGTTTGTTTTTAGTAATTCTAATTTAATTTTTTAAACATAAATTTCAAATAAAAATTTAATAACTTATATGAACAAAATTAAAAAGTTTTTTTTTATCATTATATAAAGTTTCATTGATTATTTTTATTTAACCGAAAAAATTTTCAATTATCATTTATATAATATATTAAATTTTTATTTAAAATTTAAATATAAAAAATCATTAAGTTAAATAAAACTATTCAAAATAAACAAAGTATCAATTTTCTTTAGCCACCACCATATCAAACCGATAAATATAGGTTTTCTTGTTATATACGAAGATAATTTCTAATAAATTTCATAATTTTAATATGAATGAATTGCTTTTAACTGATTGATAAGTTTTAAGCTGATGTTAGCAAAAGCTCGATCATGAAGGAAGAAAGGAGGAAAAAAAAAAAATAATAATAAAGTATGTGAGATGCATCCTGACGTGTATTGTTAATGTTCGTGTCACTGCATGAGGCAGGAAGCATGTTTACGGGGCAAAAGACTATTGTGAGCATGTCTTGCGATTAAAAGGCCTGATGAGGAGGAACTTAAGGAAGGTGCATATATGTTGTTGAGGATGCTTTCGGTATGTTTCTTCGGGTAGAAGCAGTGTGCTTAAGTCAGGTTCGGCTTTAGGGCCATTCTTAACGTCTTTTTTTTTCCCCTAACTTCCTGTTATAACGTCTGGTTTTTGGTGGTTGCTTGGGGACTTAAAGAATGACATAAACACTTATCTTGTATGGCAGCAGAGCATGCATTACCTCATCAACAAAGAATTTTATGGCATAGTGAAAAATTAACACAATTTAATTGGATACATATCAATTCACATATTTTACAATTGTAAAATGTATGAATATCGTATAATTAACGTATTGAATAAAAAAAACATTGTAGCAATGTCATTTTCCAATAATTAGTGTGAAGGCCCAAAGAGTGTGTTGAAATCAAGAACAACTTTCATTTTCACCCAATCATGATGATATATAGGTAGGTGGATAAATTTTGAAGAATTTCAAGGTATGAAATTTCGTGTCCAAATTTTCCATTTTCCAATTGAACCTCCTATGGACTATAAAAACTGACCTGAAGAAAAAAGCTGCACAACATGACAAATTTTATACACCTTAACTCTCTCTACTTTCATTCTCCTTTAGCTTCTTTTTCTTTTCTCTGCTTTCTTTCTTTTCTCTCCACCCCAATGAAGCTGTCTCCCTCGTCTTCTCTTTACAATACTAGTGCTGGAGAAAGTCATTCATGGTCATCACCCACCATGAGATGCCACCACTGCCACGGCCATGACAATCTCACCGGAATAAGCCTGAAACCACCTGCGGTACGGCCGTATGTCCGGTCCAAGGTGCCTCGGTTGAAATGGACGCCTGACCTTCACCGCTGCTTTCTGCATGCAGTTGAACGCTTAGGTGGAGAAGACAGTAAGCCATCTGTATAAATATGCCTAATATTCATCACCAAAATTGTCTCTTCTTTTAAATTAATGATTTTTCTTTGAATTTGTAGGAGCTACACCAAAGATGATTTTACAGATGATGGATGTGAAGGGCCTTACTATCTCCCACATAAAGAGTCACCTTCAGGTCTTTGCTCCTTATAAGATATTTTGGATTATTTTGATATGGATGATCTGCTTTTAACTAAATTAACGTTATATATATATAAAAAAAAATTCACTTTTCTTTTTGGTTAATTCTTCTAAAACGTTCTGGTTTGAAATGGACAGATGTACAGGAGCATGAAGCATGAGCAGGTGATGCAAGGTATATGTGTACATTGCGCTTGATCTAGTACTTATTAATATTCATTATATATTGCCGTGCTCTTCATAAGTCAATGTTGTATGAAAATGTATATGTTTCTTCGACTCAAAATTTTTTTATTGATAGCTTATTTTTGATATAACTTGGAATAAAAAATTAGATCACCCCAATTATAGTAATTAATTTAGTGACTAACTAAACATTTGTATGCATAATTGTTGGAAGAAGCAACTATGGTACCAAGGAGAAATCAGCTTGCAGATATAGGAATTACTCATCCCAAATCTGTGCAAAAGCAAGGGTTTCGACCTGAAGGAGTGAATGCAAGTGGTACCAATCGAGCACAAATATGGTGGTGTGCCTATATATGGTCTTATACATACATTAAGCTGAAAACAATATATATTTCAATTTGAACATTAGTTACATTTTATATATGATTTTCCAGGAAAGGAAACAAGATGAGTGAGGCTAAGACATTATCATATGCAAAAATAAGTAGCAAAGCATTGGAGCAAAAACCAAAATCTTACATCTTCTTCAAGGAACTGCTTAAAAGCTGCAACACCCGAGTATGTATACACATACATCTATCTCTTTTCCTCTAGGAAAAATGTGTTTGCCAGTCTGGACTGGAAAAGTCATTTCTACACCCAGCATATTTCCAACTTGAACTGGCAATAAAGTTCCAACTAAATTTCTGCATCCTCTTTCCTCTCTCTTTCTCTCTCTCTATAGATTTTGCAACTCCAATTCCACATTAAAAAGATACATGGGTATGAATTTAAATTTTGGAAGACTGGGCCTCATGATTATGACAATACTAAACTTGTGTAGTTTTAGTCTGCATTTCTTACTTTTTGATGTTTCATGATCAGAAGGAGAATGAGGCAGCAAAATTGGCAGTGCAGAATCATCAAAGATGGGTTGACTATGTGGGGGCTTCAGAGGGAAAAGCTAAGGGTTCACAGGCAATGTTGAAGCTGGGCAAAGCTGAGCAGGCCCTAGACGTCAATGATGTGTCTCTTGACCTCACTCTTGCTTAACTAGTTTTGTATAAATATGCGCAAACAAATTGGAATATCAAAATGTTTTCTCAAACCTTTTCTTATATCCAATTAATCATCAACAGTGGAAAACATAATTTGGACCCTTGGTTTATATAAAGTTAGATACCAAATCAAACTAAACTTTTCTGTTGTCAAAGTCAAAAGAAAAGTAATTCATATATAATCTTATATCAGAACAGAATCCTATAGCTTCTTGCATATCTATAACCGTAATTAATAATTGACTATTTTCATTCAACAAGATGTGAATTGCTATTTGCATTCACTTATGTGATGATACATGGCTAATATGAATTTCCATATATTATGAAATAAAACTGTGTTTGTATCAGTTTTGAAGCCAAAACTGATTGAATCAACTGAAATGTCGGCAGCTAGAACAAATTTGTAAAATGGCTGAGGTCCTAGCTGGGCACAACTTAGTCATTGTTCTATTAATCTACCCCTGTACCTTGTGACAATAATGTACTAACTTTGGAGCTCTGGGACCGATTTGGTTATGCGAAAGTGAATTTTGAGGGGTCACTTCTCACCGCCCAGAACAACTTTCCCAGCTCTTTAAATGAAACAAATTAAATTGACGAGCAAGACAGGAATACCAACTACATGTACACCACAAGACACGGTTGCTAGAGCAGTTGGCTGCATTAACTATCCTAGCATGAATTATTTTGTTTTATGAAGTTTTACTCTGACTTTTCAGTTCTCCACTTCTCTATATATTTACTAGCTCCAGAGCTGCTTCACATGCACATGCAAATTCATTTTAGCCATTTTGTTAAGGATGGGCACTAGGGTATTTGTATTGGTGCTTATTTCCCTTCTTCTTTGTGTTGGTAATGCTAGGAAGCTTGTGACTGAAAAGGGTACCTTTGGGGATAGGAAATCTTTCTTCCCCTTCAATCCTTTTTACGGTAGTGGCGGGGAAGAAGGATGGCCTGGTGCCGGTGGTGAGTTGGGTGGTGAAGGGTTTGGTGGGTTTGGTTCGCTTGGAGGTGGAGGTGGAGGTGGAGGTGGGGGTGGAGGTGGTGGTGGTGGTGGAGGAGGAGCTGGTGGGGGATCTGGTTTTGGGAGTGGAGCTGGATTTGGAGCTGGGTTTGGGGCTGGAAGTGGCGGGGGATATGGTGGTGGAGGTGGTGGGGGTTTTGGTGGGGGTGGTGGCAAAGGTGTTGGTGGAGCTGGCGCTGGATATGGGGCAGGAGCAGGCTATGGTGGAGGCTTCGGAGCAGGGCATCCTTGACTTCAGATTATCCTTCTCCCCAAATATAATGCTGCTGTTTAAGTCAATTTAACCTTATATAGTAAAAAGTAGTTTGCTCAAAGCTCAATTGCTGATGAGCACTTTCTGTATCATCTATATCAACTGTAAGAGAAGCACTTATGAATAATGGAATAATTACCAATTCTCTATTAATATTTCTTGAGACTAATGATATCACATATATATTCACCTGTCATATCCTATCATATTGTCTGTTTGGTTCATTAATTCAATTTCTTCAATCTTTGATCTCTGAAGAATAGATTTACATGCACTGCGGGGGTCGATGTATCTAATTAAATTCATTCCCTCGTCTCTCTCATTAGAGACAATTAAAATTAAGAAAATTTTGAGGAAGTAGTTTCTACTATACAACCCAAATAATGGGAAATAGTTATAACCACTAAATAAATTGGTAGGGCCACATGAGCTTTTAATTTTTAAAAATAATTAATTATAGTATTTGAATATATTAATATTTAGAGTAATTTTAATTTATTAAGTAATAAATATTAATTATTTTGTTATTTATCAATTAATAACTTTAATTTTTAGTTAATTTTAATCATTAAATTGAACAAAATCAGTATTAAAAAATTTTTAAAATTTATGTAACACCTTAATAATTTGTCGGGTGGTAGACAATAAGAATAATGAAGTTTTAATTAATTAGATGTTCCTTTTGTTGGAGGGCAACTTACAACCTAGCAAGTTCAAGGGCTTAAGATTAATTTCAGCCTTTAAAAATTAATTTACTTTGGCTCCATCAAAAAATATGAAAAGACATGGAAATAAGAGACACATCAAAGATTAATTAAGACATAATATAAGCCCCTAAACTATGCATTCACGTTAAATTGGCCCATTTTTAACGGAAAATTATTAACCTCCGTTAGTCAACACCAGAAAAATGGACTACCGTTTCTATGATCCCTTAAGTTCTCAAATTTCAAAGAAATTGGTCCTTAAGGTTTATAAAATTTTAACTTTTTAATATGTTCAATATTTTCATCATTTTCTATTATTTTCTTAAAATTTCCTGGAAACCCAACATCAAGAACAAGGAGCAAACTTGGAGAAAGAGAAACAGATTTTCCCAGACTTATTCTCTAGAGAAAATGTATAAATTCTTAAAAACAAATCTTTTTTTTTTTTTTCTAAATTTTGCTTTTTTTTTGTAAACTCATAAGCAACAAAAAGTAGACAAACCAACTAACACCAATTTTGCATAATGAAAAAGTGATATTATAGTTGAAGAGAAAATGTTATTACATGAATAAAACAAGAAAAATCAACATATCAAGAACACAAAAAGACCAAGAGGAATAGGAAGAAAGAAAGAGCTGCACCATTTTTCCAAAAAACCCATTATAGGACAAAAGAAAAGGCAAAAACCTATTTTAACCACTTACCTTACCAAGTTTGAAGGTTTTAGCCCTCACCTTATACTATAATATTTTTAGCTCCTCACCTATTAAAATCGAAGAAAATAGCTCTCACTTTATACTGATTGTTAACTCTGTTAACTGAAAGTAAATTTTTGTCAACTAACAGTCAACTAATAGTTAGTTAATAGAATTAACGAAATATTATAAAGTTAGTTCTATTAACTTTATTAACTTAAAAAAGATTTTTATCAACAATAGTTAATTAATAGTCAGTTAATAGAGTTAACTATTAATTAATAGAGTTAACCATCAATTAATAGAACTAATAAAATGTTACAAAATGAGGACTGTTTTCTTTAATTTTAATATGTGAGGAACTAAAAATGTCATAATATAAAATAAAGGGCTAAAACCTACAAATCTAGTGAGATAAGGGACTAAAAGTGTCATAATATAAAATGAGGGGTTAAAACTTTCAAACTTGATAAGGTGAGGGACTAAAATTTGGCTTTTACCCAAAAGAAAATATACAAAGAAATGAAAGAAGATGGCTGGTAGAGGTCTATTTGAGCATAACTCACCCTTATCTAATGGAATTTTCTTTCCATTTTACAAAAATAGTATTCTTTTTCAATTAATTTAATTACTTTATTTAAACCAAAATGTCTGTTATTAATTATGTTGAGTACAATTTCATAAAAGTATAAATTTAAAGTACCTGCAAAAGATATCATTATTCATTTGTAAATTCATACATATATCAAATTTATAATAATCTAAGAATACATTTTTTTAAAAAAAATATTTCTATTAAATGAGACTTTAATTGCACTTGGACCGGTTTGTAAGGTGCATCCCTTAAACCGAGGGTTGGGGTTCGATTTCCTCCTCCCCCATATTTGTAACATTGTTCAAAAAAAAAAAGAGACTCTAATTAAATGCCATGGTTTTGGTAGCTAAGTTGCATCTAGATGACTACTTTGGTTCTGGTAAGGAGTGAATTTGAGAAAGAGATGTGGCCGTTAAAAAAAGAGGGGAATTATTTTTATATTTTTAAAGTTTAAGGGTTATTTTCTTTTGAAATTTGGTAAGTTTAGGGATTATATTGAATTAATTTATTATATATTTATTGTAACGCTGGAATATGTTGACGGGAGTTAACATGAAACGTTAGAGAAGGGCCAATTTGATGCCCCAGTGTACTTTAGGGGCTTAGATGATGCTTTTTTTGTTTGAGGGCTTAAAACTTACAACCTTACATGTTTGAGGGCTTAACATTAGTTTCAGCCTTTATTAAACATACAAAGAGACTAAACAATAAACATTGATAATTAAAGCTGGCGATTGGCCCAATATAAGGACTATTCATGTGATTTGTTATAATGTCTTTATTAAAGTGAAAATGATATGTCTCTCTTTACTTTTAATAATTATTAAAATAAATATTTATATATATTTTTAATTTACATTTCTTTTCAGACTTATAATTAAATAAAAATAAATCTTCTACATTTCACTTGAAATAAATTAATTAAAATTTAATAAATGATGTAATCATATGTCGTTTTATCATCTTTCCGTTTAATACCTGTTAAAATCTTAATCATTTGGCAATCTTGAGTTTTTTTATTATTATTATTATTATTATTTATAAAGGAGAATTTTTTTTTTTAAAGTATAGAAATTTCAATTATCATGAAAAATATAAGAATAATAAATAGTCCCTTTTCGCCATTTACGAACAACATGGCGTCATGGAAATGATAATTCAAGTTCATCAGATCAGCACAAACTATCTATCCCTCATATGGGTTGAACTTGATTAATTTAGTTTGCAATCCTCTATATAAATAGACCGTTTACAACATAAAAACCATGCATCCAGAGCCTTTCCCTTTACATATTTTCTACAAGTTTAAGCATGAGCATCTCTCTTCCATGCATCAATATGGTGTCCATTTCGAATTTTCTCAGCAATTTTCTCGGTCCCTCTTATTTTCTTTCAAAACCATGCATATTTTGGGAAAGAATATTTCAGTTTCAGTCTAATTTGTTCTTCAATTCCTCTGTTATTTGAAATTTCAGCTACCGTTGGAGATGGTTTTCATGATTGCCTGCGAGACTGAGAAGGAGCATATCTAACCGTACAGCTCCAATCTAGGATATACATTTCATGTGGCACACCCATATGTTGCTGGGATACATGAATACTCTTCCTCTAGCTCCCATGGATATACAAGGGAGTTAGTTAGACTTGAGCTTGGCGCGTGTGTCACCATTGTTACCACCTTGCTCCAATTGCAGCGATAATGCCATAATGGGATTCATTCTTCTTCATCTTAGCCTTGTAAAATACACGCCTATCCTCTTCTGCAATACCACATATATACACCTCCTCTAAAAGATGATATATATCTACAAGCTAAGGTGAAGTAGAATGATTCTCATGCATTAATGGCTGGATTTGGGGCAAGTTAATTAAAACATTGTTAGAATGCACCAAGTTCAAGTCTAACCTCCCTCCTAAATCCATGGCAGGCTACAGTGAGAGTATTCATGTATCTCAACAACATATGGGCAACATGATTCCTAGATTGAAGCTGTATATATGGTTTGGATTCTCTTTATCTTTATCATGAAGATGGAGCACAAGTTTCGTATCATTAACTGTCACTTATATATGGTGCAGGTGATGGCTTTGGAGGAGTATAGGAGGTAATAGTTAAGGATATGGTCATGGTGAAGGTTGTGGATTAGGAGTGGGAATGCATGGGTGGTGAATCCAATGGCAGGAAGGGTTAGAGAGGCACCAATGGCATGGGCTAGTCTAGCTCAAATTGCGTTTCTGGCGAGGCCCAAATTGAGCCCACATCTTCTCCAAAAATGAATGTTATGCAGAGGCACCAATGGTATGGGGTAGTCAAACCGAAATTGCGTTTTTGGGGAGGCCCAAATTGAGCCCATATCTTCTACCTTAAAACGAAAAAGGGCTGCAGAACTCTCACCCTCCTTGACCAGAACCCCTTCGTTCCTGTTTCTCAGTTTGACTCGAATTCTTTTATTTTTTTTAAATGCAGTCAGTATTTGCTGAAAATGTCAGCATGGCAATTGCCAGAAAGAGTAAGTTGGGGAATTTTAATTACTGGATGGTATGAAATATGAATAAAAAATAGTATTTATCCGTTTTACTTTCTAAAGATGATAAGAATATTATTCTAAAATTATATTATTTTAATAAATATATATTGAAAAAGACTAATATATTTTATTTTTAAAATATAAATTAAAATATTTTTTATTTTTTTCTTAATATTTTGAAAGTAAGACAAATAAGTACTGACTTTATATTAATATATTAAAGAAAAAAAAAATTTAGCCAAATTTAAGCATCTTTTCGTTGGGATTGAAGACTCCAGCGATCACTGGACTCCACTTTGGTCTTTTTTAATAAAGAATAATAATTTTTTAGAAAATTTTACTAGTAGCCAGCTAATTAGAGTTGTAAAAGGGGATCAATTAGCAAATAGAGATCTCTGAAAAGATTTTGGTTCATTAATTAAATTTCTTCAAAATCTTTGATCTCTGTAGAATACATTGACATGTGTAGCTAGGGATGAAACATAAGGTTTAATTTGCGATATATCATATTAAAAACACATTTTCATTTATTTGATTAGGGACAACTATAATTGAAAAAAACTTGAGACAAATTATGCTACCCCAATATATAATAGAACTTAAATTATTCTTTTTTTTTTACAAAATAATAGATTTATTTTATTTTATTTTATTTTCAATTAAAGACTTATGGATAATTTTTGTTGTTATCTATTTTACTCTTAAAAAATGAAAGAAATAAAACAAATATTTTATTAAAAGATAAATAATTAAAATTGAGAGATAATTATAAAGTTAATTAAAGTAAGAAAAAAATATTTATCTTGTTTAATATATGAAATATATAAAAAAATGATTATTAATCTGAAATAAATTTTAAATAAAAAACATTTATTATTCTAGAATAAATGGAGTAGCTTAATAAACTTTTGTTTTTCCAAATTAAATTAAGCTAACATGAAGAATAAACATTTACAAGGTTGGAATTGGTCCAATATTAGGACCAATATTTACGGGATTTGGTGCATTTTTGTTGGGTGTATATGTACTTCGATCTGTACCATATACATTGTACTTTGGCCGTATATTTCAAGTGACACATGGCCTCCACCGAGCATATTTTGGTCACATGGCCTCCACTTTGCATTAGCTTATTCTCTTTTTGGTAGAATTGCATTAGCTTATTCATGTTGTGAGATTTGTGTATTAAGATATATACTATATATACGTTGCTATTTTTTGAATAATATCGCTGCAAACTAAAGTTCATTTGTAGGGACCAATTAATTTGACCATGATTATTTAATTGTACTTGGTGTTATATAAATAGGTGATGCTGGCTAGGAAGATATCAAACCAAAACAAGTGACAGATAAATATACAAAGCCTGCTAATTGCTTGGTTCCAAGAGAATACTGGCGACCAGGGCAAAGTATTGGGGTGTGGTCCTTCTTGTTTTCAACATTATTAGTGCTTTCAATGGTGTTAGTCATGGAGGTGAAGTAGATGAGAGTGGTGGCTCTGGAGCTCCAAGTGGTTGGAGGTTTGGAGGTGGTGGTGATGAGGATGAAGTTTATTGCTCATATAGAAGTTGGCGAAGTTGTGGCAACTTCTTTGGTAGAAATGGGAAAGGTTTTGGTGGTAGTGGTGGTGGTGGTGGTGGTGGAGGAGGTGGAGGAGGAGGTAGTGTAGGTAACAAGGGTTTTGGAAATGGGGAGGGACATGGTCTTGGAGGAGGCAATAGTGTGGATGGAGCTGAAGGAGGGGGAGGGGGAGGGGATGGAGGTGGAAGTGGTAATGGCGTTGCTATGGGCTTTGGTCACGGAGAAGGCTTTGGAGTTGGAGGTGGGGTAGGAGGTGAAGGGGGTGGCGCTGGTGAAGGAGGTGGAGCTAATGGAGGGCCAGGTCATGGTTATGGATATGGTGTTGGTGGTGGTGGTGGTGGTGGTGGAAAGGGTGGTTCATATGGAGGATATGGCCAAGGTAGTGGTTATGGTGTAGGTGGTGGCTTTAGAGGAGGAGGTGGAGGCAGTGGAGGAGGAGGAGGAGGGGGAGGAGGAAGGGGGGTCGGTTCAAATGGAGGATATGGCCATGGTAGTGGTTATGGCGCAGGTGGTGGAGGCAACAACGGAGGTGGAGGTGGAGGTGGAGGTGGCGGTGGTGGTGGTAATGGAGAAGGATATGGTCATGGTGAAGGTGGTGGATTTGGAATGGGAGTGGGTGGTGGATCCAATAGTGGTAAAGGTTATAGCGGCACCGATGGCATGGGCATGGGATTTGGAATGGGCATTGGCTTTGGATTTGGAATGGGAGCTACTAGTGGCTCAGGAAATGAAGCTGATGAAAGTGGCAATATTGATCCTTGAGAGCCTTGTTTATCTCAAAAATTAAACTAAAATCAAGTCATAGAACATTGTTCTTGTTAACAAAATGAATATTATTTTCACCATTTCTATTTTTGTCAAAGTTTTATGTACCAAGTCAATCACTAGAAATCTATTTCAAAATAAATCTTACTTTCTTATAAATTTCCCATCAACTAAATATATAATTCAGAATTCTTTCCTTTATCCCTAAAATGACACTTTTTTCAATTATTTATAGCGAATTTTTTATTTTTTAACATTTTTGTCATGGGACCGGCTCGAACCGTTATTCTGAAGGGGAGGATATAAACCTTACAAACGTAGTTAGAACCACTTGAACCGAATGATCAAGTTCACGAAATTGTTAGTTGGTGCTCTCATCATTTTAATGAAGAAAAAAAAATCTTGATAGTACATAGATAGTTTAAATAAATTAAATGTAAAACTCACCTTAGGGAAAAAAATGTAAAATTTTGTGAGAAAATGTAAAAAAGAAAAAGAGAAGAAAAGAAACCCCTGCAAAACCCACGCCGCCTGGACAAACCTCTTCGTTGCTGTTTCTCAGTTTGTCAATTGCCAAGGTGACCTAAACTCTAACTCCGAGTTCGTACCGAGTCAACTCACCACCGCAGCGATGGCAGACGTTGTTCACTACAGGCTAGAGCACATGACGAACGAGCTCGATGACCTCGAGTGGCGTCGCCTTTTCACACGCCGCGAGATCGCCGAGATCGTCAAGTGGCGCCGCAAGTTCGAGTACCAGCTCAAGCGCCCCTCGCCTCTTAAGCAGGACTACATTGCTTACATAGATTATGAGTCCCGGCTTGATGATCTCCGACGCCTTCGCAAGAAGGCTGCTGCCAGTGAGCTCGCACGCGAAGGCAAGAAGAAGATTAAGATGAAAAATTCCATTTCTGATTATGCAGTGGTTACAAGGATTGTGCAGATATATGGGCTGGCGGTGATGAGGTATAAAGGAGATATTGAGTTATGGTTTAGATATCTTGAATTCTGTAGGCAGAAGAGGAATGGAAGAACGAGGAAGATAAAACCTTTTTCTGGTTGAAACAAAGATTTTTTTTTTCTTAATCAGTGGCATGTTTGGATACTGAGAAAGTGCTGGAATTGATGGAAAGTTGCTAAATTATTGTTACTTCTTAGTAGCACTAAGCAAGACTTCTTATGTTATTGAAGCTCACAACCTATGATTAGTCCTTTTCAGAATGGTCTTCTGCTTTTAAAAGTTCATCAGTGATAGCAATTTCCACTGTTATAATCATCTCTGAGCTTGCTCTCAATTGGGATGTTACTACAATTCACCAGCTTTTTTTCATGTTCAATGTTTTGACCTATCAGGTTTTGCAAAATTGTGTTGTTATTTAATCACTGCATTTTAGTTGCTAGTAGTCAAGGTCTTGTATTTGCTTGGATTGTTACAGACTTTTATTTTCAATGCAGGTCCTTGCTCAAGTGATTAGGTTTCATCCCAAGGTCCCAGGAGTTTGGATTTATGCTGTGGGTTGGGAATTGGACCACAATTTGAATGTTGCAGCTGCCTGAGCTCTCATGCAGAGTGGTTTGAGAATGTGCCCAGGTTCAGAAGATCTTTGGATAGAGTATCTCAGAATGGAACTCACATACCTTAACAAGCTGAAAGCTAGTAAGGTTGCTCTTGGTGTGGATAAAGGGAACTCTAGTTCGCGATTGAAAGAATATTGCTGAAAATCAATGGGGAGAGGAAAATGAAGATTTATTTGTGAACCTTGATGAAGAGAAGGGAAATAATGATGGATCAATTGAAGAGACTGAGAAGAAAGTGGATTTATTTTCATAGCATGGTTCAAGCATATTACAAACTATATACTGGGGAGCAATAAAGACACTTTCTTCAAGTTTTAGCCTTGGGAAGCGGTTTCTTGAGATATTGGAAGCAATAGAGTTGGCACATTCAGATGATTTGCACAATGAGATACTGAGTGATATGAAGAGAGACTTTTCAGCAGATCCAGAATATTGGGACTGGCTCGCAAGACTAGGTATGCCCAATCCAATAAGTAAAGGGGTGAGGGGAGAAGATTCAAGCCTTTCTCAATTTGAAAAGGCAGTTCAGGTATGACACCATATGGCCAAGCTAAATCCTAGAGC